GTTCAAATAGTCGTGCTAAAAGGAAAATAACGACACTAAAACACAAACCTCCACTCTGGTCTTTGTGGACTTTACACTGATGCAGTTAATTAGTTTTTACCATCTCGAGTTTGTTCCTGAACTTCCAGCTTGTCAGGATTTAACGGTGTGATCTTTCCCTCAGGCCGTCAACATGAACTCCGTACTATCATCGGTGCGATCCCTCATGCAAATGTTCGATGGCAAAGCTCAAGAATTCAGCAGTGACATTGACAACGTCCACATGGTTTGGCTTGAAGAGATCCAACAAGAAGCCAATCGCATGTTCTCAAGGTACGCTTGAAGTAATGTGATGAAAACCGATTTTACATCTTCATGAATCTGTTGTTCTTCTCTAGAATTGTCTTTTTAAGGTTTTACTAATAAATAATAAATCTTTTTATTACAGAGATTTTAATGCTGAGCCAGAATTGATGCCAAAAACGCCGTCACAGAAGAAGAACAGTCGCAGGAAGCGTGTGTCTCTCGGCCGTCAGGAAGAAAATCAAGCCAGGCGAAGGTTTGTTACCTTCATAACTGTTTTTATTTAGTAAAGGCTTCTTAATTTTTAAAGCATGTTGAGCCTTTTGTAACTCTACATAAATGATCCCTTCCTGTACAGATTTTCAAAGGGGAAGCGCAGCAACCTTCGCGGCTCCTCTGTCAAATCACTGAACTTCATTGCTGAAGAAGAGGCTGCAGCCGAGGCCTCCACCTCCGAAGCCACCGCACAGCCCAAACGCGCCACCCGCAAAAACAAACAAAGCAAATCCGAGGTGGCGGAGGATGTGAGCCAGTCGCCTCACGGCAGCAGTAAAACTGAGGAGGTGGAGGACAAGAAGCCAGAGCTGGTAGAAGAGGAAGAGCTGTACAAAAGTAACGCGGTGAACAATGCAGACGTCCAGCCGGTCTACATGCACAGCACTACCCCGTCTCCACCTAAGATACCTTCGCCTGAGGTCGTTGTCAGCATCTCTCCAACAGACCGCCTGTCCGCTGAGCTCGCTAAAATGCCAGAGCCTTCTCCTGGCCGCACAGCTGCTAAGATTGCAATAGCCGGCACTTCTCAAAGCTCACGACGGAGCTCCGTACGGTGCTCCCTCAAGCTTCGCCACTCGCTGGCCGGTCTGCGGCACAGTTTGACTCAGGAGTCTGTTCGCCGTGCCTCACGCCGCTCCATGCTTAAGAGGAAGGTTTCTCGCATGAGCAGCTCCACATGTAGCAGCAACATTGATGGTGAGAAATGAGCCACATTCATGTTCTGACACTGATTCTTGTTATTCTGTGTATTATATTTGACTTTCTTTCTGATTGTAGAGCACTCTTGCATTGACTCTACTGAGGAAGAGGACAGAGAGCTGTGAGTACTGACTCAAAAGTTTTCTTTGCATCAATTGTTGTTTTGTTTTAGAATATAATTTATAATAGAGATTGATCCATTTGTCTACTTAACTGTAGCTACATGTGACTGGACATGAATTCAGTGTTTTATTTGTGTTTCTAACCCATATTAATGTATTTACTTCTATAGCATGTTAGAAGCAGTAACTGCTGACGTGGAGGATAATGCTTCAGCTGAAGAGTCAAAGGAAACCCCAGAGGTATGAGTATACGCCTGTGTCTATTAAAAGTGTCAAAGTGAAATGTAATTTATCCTCTGGTTATTAATACATTGAATTGTTTACATCAAAACAGAAAAAGAAAACCCAGACAAACCAGAGTGTACATCCATCTGTTGCACGTGTTACTCGATCTGTGGCTGCGAACTCTCCCACACTGGCACCTCCGTCGTTGTTTACCACTGAGCAAAATATGAACACTCCCAACAGGAAAATGGGTATGTGAACTCTTCATTTTAGTTATTGTGCAAATTAGATATTTATAATTAACAGTTTTGTACCAAAAAGCAACTGTATGCACTAACAATACCTGTTTTGTTTGTGTTTGTGTTTGTGTTCAGTTGTCAACGAGAAGCCCCATCGGTCCGGAGGTGAGTGTGTCTCTGTGTTGGTCTAAACGACACATGAGAGGTTACTGTGATGATGTTAAAGGACATATCCACCTGTTAAGACTGATTGATACATACATACATTCATTGTTGTCTTTAAAAAGTGTTATTTCTGTGTCTCTAGGTCACGCCAGAGTACCAAACGCAAAGCACCAGATACTGTAGAGGAAAGTCCCACAAAGAGGTTGTCTCCTCCCAAGAAAAGTCAAAGTGTAAGGCGCAATGAAAAGGAAAATGTAGGGATAAATGTATGAAAAAGAATGAATGGATTTGTAATCAGCCTCTCCTTTGTTATTAACACAGGCAATCAGACCCAACATGAAATCTTTTCTCCACACCGTGCAGAAGAATCAGATGCTGATGATGACACCAAATTCCCTCGGCCGGACTGGAGTCATCAAGTCCTTCATTAAGCACACCACTCCTATGAAGGTTGATCCTAAGGTAAGTTACACACATAACAGAGGGAAGTGTTTGCACTGCCGAGCCCGACTGTGATAAAGAAGAGCAGAGCTGCAACACTCGCAGGCTGAGGAGTACCATTTTTAAAAATAAAGAAAAGAGAGAGAGGCTCTGATTTTGATCTGCTGATATATTTTAGCTGATACGACCCATTAAATCTCTACTTAATAACTAAAACTCTAC